ATCTATGCTTTTGGAGACAGCCATGTAAATAATATGTTATCGTACAAATGTGCAATATTATATATATGTGGTCTGGTTCAAGTATTCTAAGTGCAAGCTCCTGATCCATCTGAGATTGCTGTGGTTACTAGTAATTAATTGCCTGGTGGAGGTTGTGATTAACTTGAACACGTGCTGCTCAGTGTGAGATTTCCTAATATGGATTATAGTTTTTAAGAATATGCAATGTATCCTTTTATTTCGATATCTTCGCTTATGCAGGGTAAACTTCACTCTTTAAGCCCTCTAGAGAGAAGGTGGATGGAACATACAATGATTACTGTATATATGTCTTTTCTAGTTCCATTACTTGTAGTCATCTATGTTTTTACTTTTTCATATTTGAGGAAGTGTATTGTTGATCCATGGGAGCGATATACACTTTTTGCTATATTAATTATTTTTTGGATTAATAGTTCATCTTGCCAGTTTCAGCTGATTCTTGCACATTTAGCTTGGCGCCGCGGTTGCATTGAAGTATATGTTTGAGAAAAGATGGGTTTTGATATAGAGTGCATAATTGACATTCATACTTACCCAGGGGAGTTCTTTTGTCCTGTTTGTCGCACACTTGTATACCCAAATGAAGCACTTCAGTCTCAGTGCACTCATCTATATTGCAAACCCTGCTTGGCACATGTTGCTAATGGCAGCCGTGCCTGCCCTTATGATGGATACTTGGTGACAGAATCAGAATCTAAGGTTACAACTCACCATGATATACATGTGGGACGAATATTGTATGCCATCTTGTTATTCTGAATTTGTCCTTTTTAACGTATGTTGACAGCCACTAATTGAATCGGACAAAGCACTGGCGGACAAAATTGGCAAAGTTAAAGTGCATTGTCTCTTCCATCGGAGTGGATGCACATGGGAGGGTCCCCTATCTGAGTGCACTTCCCACTGTTCTGGGTGTACTTTTGGAAATTCACCGGTCATATGCAACAGATGTGGAGTCCAAATTGTGCATCGTCAAGTACACGATCATGCCCAGAGTTGTCCTGTGAGTGCTATAAGCCTATTTTTACAGAATAACATGGTAACGAGGATATTATTCTTTGTACTTAGTTCTCAGCTTTAATTAACATTCCAGGGTGTATATCAAACACAGCAGACAGCAGAGAATGCCCAGGGAGCTGCTAGCTTGGGTCCAGCCTCCACTACGACTGCAGCAGACTCGAACCAAACTGCTGCCCAACCAGGAGCTCTGACTTCTCAGGCTCAGAATCCACAAAGTACTGCTGCTGCTCTGCTGCCTGGACAAGATCTCAACCATCAAGTAAACCCCAACTTTCAAGCTCCAACTGGTGCTACTACTGCCGTGCCAACTCCAGAGCAGTGGTATCAGCAACAATATCAGCAATACTATCAGCAGTATGCAGGATATGATCCTCACCAACAGTCTTATCATCAATACTATCCCAACCAACAGCAGCCGGTGCAACAGTACCAGCAGAATTCACTGCATATGCAGGGGCAGCACCAATCTCAAGCACATGCCCAGCCACAGCAACCTCAAATCCAGATGCAGCCCCAATCACAGGTCCAGCCCCAGCTGCATCCTCAAACCCAACCACCCCAACCCCAACCCAATGTGCAACCGCAACATCAGTCCCAACCCCAACCCCATCCCCAGCCCTCACTGCAGCCTCAAACTCAGTCTCAATCACAAGTTCCAGCTCAGGGGCAACAACAAATGCATGCACCTGTCCCAGCTCCAGGTCATCAAATAAATCCATTGCAGCAGCTCCACCCAGCAATGCAGTCCCAGGCTCAGGTTTTAACACAGACCCTATCAGCCCCCCCTGGTCAATCAGCACCTCAGCCTGTACCCTACCCCCAGGGTCAGACTCTGCCTGTGTCGATGCGACCACCTGTCCAACAACAGCAGATGCCTCAATACTCGCAACCTCAATCACTGATGTATTATACTCAGGCTTCTCAAGTTCAGCATCCACCACAAATTCAGCCTCAACCACAATTGCAGCCTCATTTGCCAGCTCAACCACTGGCACATCTTCAACATCCTCCACAGTCCCATCCTCAGCTCCGTCCTCAGCTCAATCAACCTTCAGCTTCTACACCCCATCCCCAAGTCCTACATCCGACAGCTCCTGCAGTTACGGGTCATCACTCTTATCCACTGCCTCATCCAGCCCAGCAAGTGCAATCAGGAGCATTGCAGCAACATCCCATGCATCCATATCCTAATGGGTCTCTGCCCCCTGCTCACATTCATGGTCAGGTCTCGCAGCAGCCTGCATTTGTGCGGCCACCTCATTCTCATGGTCAGCTACCCCAGCAACAAGCGTCAACGGTTTTTCCACCTCAAGGTCAGGTCTCTAGTATCCCTCCGGCACAACAGCAGCAATTCCAACCTCAATCTCAACAGCCAGTCCATCAAATTCAACATATGCCTGTCATGCAACCAGTTCGACACACTGTGCCGCAGCAGCCTTTTCTGGCAGCTGTTCAAAGTCAGTTACAGCAGCATGGTCATTTTGTGCAGCAGCAACAGCCTCCTCAGCCTCAGTTGCTTATGATGCAGCAAAATGTTGCAGTGCCACAAGGCTCGCTACCTCTGCAGCCTAAGAGTAATGTTAGAAGGCCTGCGATGGACAATCATGTGATACCACCACAGTCCTTTCCACAATCTTCGGCTGGTTTTGGTGCTGCTCAGCTTAGACCTGTGCAGCCCAATCTAAACCAGCCATCAACAAATCAAAGTTATGCCAGATCTGTGGTGCTGGAGAGGCCAGAAGAATTAGAGAATCATGAAACCTCACGAGGAGTTGGATCATCTCCTGAGAACATCATGCGAAAAGATTTTAAGGTTCTAGGGACTGATGCAGATGTGAAATATGTAACATCTGAAACAGTCCAGAATAATGACCAAAAGTATATAGGAGAGATGGTAGATGAGTCTGGACAAAACAGAACAGTTGACAAGGATGCTGCAGAAGATGGAGCGGGGAGTTCTTTGAACTCGTCTGATGGCAAACTGGTTGAAACT